CCCTCCCACGCACCTAGAGCCTCTGAGGGCCGGGGGCCGTTTGTCTTTTAGCGCCTCTCGCTAAATTCCCTGACTTTAGCTGATCTAGGTATTTTGTTCCCCACTCAGGTAGAAAATAAAAATAAGAGGAAAAGTCAGAATCTCTCTCTTTTTTGTAAATTTGTGACTGGAAATCTCTTCATTTTGAAAATTTTTAAAATTCTATGTTTTCCTCAGAAGCGACTTCTCCACAGTTGTTCTAGTGCCTTGTCCAGTAAAATCGTGTAGTTCACTAAGCACCAGACCTGTCCTGAAAATTCTTTTTTTTTTAAACGCTTTTAATCATCCCAGTGGTACTTAAAATCAGGTTTCCACCTCATTGGTAAAGTGTGTTTTGGAGGAAGAAGACACCAGGTACTTAACAATCTGAATATGTCAGGGAAAAGTTGGCACAAGTGTGTGGAAATTATTATCTGGAGAATTACTGATCTTCACTTAAGAGTGTAAAAAAATAGCTGTCATTTGTGCTGTGGGGTTTTCTTCACCAATAGTGTGGGTAAAATTACTTCACTTAAAGATAAAAGTTATATGTTTGAACTATTCCATTTATTGTAATACAGTTCTGACTAAAACCTAATAACAAATAGTTTAAAATATTTTCATTTAAAATTTTTCTCTGCTTTGAAAATAATTTCTTTATGATTTCCAGTCATTTTTGAATTTTGTGATTTTGTGAATTCCATAATCATAAAGAAAAAAATGATTTTCAAAATGTTTATTACTATATACATGTTTATTAAAAGACAAGCAATTCTTGTTGTTGTTAGTTTCCATTAAGTCGATTCCAGCTTGTGGCAAGTGAAAAGACATGTAATTTCTGCTTGGTATTTAAAAACCTCAGTCCACTTGGTGATTGTTTCAAAGTTGATATGTTTGATGTTCCTGGTGATAAAAATTTATCAATAATGTGCAATGAGATCCTGATTTCAAAACCCATGGGAGCATATATGGCAGTATATAACTAGCTCACTACTTTAGGTAATAAGATGTTCATCAGCCTTGCCTTGTAAATACTCTTAGATATATTGTTCTAATTCTAGGCATTAGCTGTTACTTTAGTTTATAAATTCCTCCAGAGAATTGTTTACTGAAATTTGTAGAAAGTCTTACAGGATAAGCACTTCATAAAACACTATAAATAAGAATAAGGTGGTGGTTCAGAATGTTCATCAGTGAGTTCTCAAAGTTCTACTTAGACATATCTTATGTTCCAATGCTTTCTCCCCCAAGATTTTCCACCAGTCTACATTCCTCTCTAATTCAATCTGTTCTGTGCTGTGATCAGCCTATAAGAACTGACTTGCTTAGGTAAGGTGGATGTAATTGGTACACTAACATGATACTAGGAGCAAGATTTTCACATATAGAGTAAATGCTGTAGCTTTGTGATGTCTACCTCATTGTTTTTTGTTTCTTCATTCTGCTAGTTTGCCCAAGAACACACCAGATACTCCCAGACTGTTTTTTAGATCTCCATCACACTGTTATTTAACAACTATTCATTGTTTAAGGACTAGAATTCAAATAATTAAGTTTAATTCAACAAACATTTTAAGAACTATGTCTAAGACACTGTTGTAGTGGTATGCTGTTAAGTTGATCCTGACTCACAGTTACTCTATATACAGAGTAGAACTGCCCCATAGAGTTGCCTAGGCTGTTAGGCATATAAAAATGCATAGAGTTGTTTTCTCTACCCTGAAGAAACTTACAGCAATGAAGACAAAAAAAAAAAAAAAAAGCAATCTTTTCTTGCACTTACTTACACTAATTACTACTTCCATTTCAATCAATGCCAGAGTCCCTGGGTGATGCAAACAGTTAAGAGCTCCACTACTACTAACCAAAAGTTGGCAATTTGAACCTACTCAGAGGTACCTCAGAAGACAGGCCTGGCAATCTGCTTCCAAAAGGTCACAGCCTTGAAAAATCCCGTAAAGCAGCTGTACTCTGCACACATGGGGTCACCATGAGTAGGAATCAACTCCTTGGCAGCTAACAAAAGCAACAATCAATCAAATGAAAGTGTAAGCTTTGCATGTGTGCATTTTATTTTTATTTTTGCTTTATTTTTTTAAATGTTACCTTGGAAGTGGACCAGTTACAAGTGAAAAATGCAGAAACGAAAGTTTTACTTCAACTCGTTATAATCAAAATATAACTGAGACTTATTCAAATCTTCTTACCCTTCAAAGCCCATTTCAAATGCCACATTCTTCTGTATCGCTTTACCTCCCCTTCCTATAAAAGCATTTACCTTCCTTATTAACAGAAAACTGATCTATAAGGGCAGCACCTGTCTGATTCGTTTTACTATGGTGTCTTATTACAGTTCAGATAGGAATGAAAGAAAGAGTGAATGAGTTCATGAAATAAATCCCGTACTGATGACAAGGCATAAGCTTCTGTTAGAGTTAAGTCAGAAATCCACCCAATGCCTCAGCATACCTATAGTCTCCTTAGCATGGTATCTTTACAACTAGGTCCTACCTTAACTTTATCAGCTTCATCTTATTTTTCATTTTTCCCCATGCTGACTACACCAGCCTGCTCACTCACCCTCACCCTCGCTCTCCCCTTATTTTTTGGCCATCCCATACATGTTCTCAGTGCCCTTCTCTTTCTCCACCTAACAAACTCCTATTCAGCCTTAAAGCTCCTACCCAAAAGTTACCTCCATTGTGAAAACTTCTCTACCTCCTCCCTACCCTATCCAAACCATGAGCAGAATCACTTGCATCCTCATCTGTGTTCCCTTAACACTTTGTTTTTAATTCTATTATAACACTGAGCCCTGGTGGCACAGTGGTTAAGAGCTCAGCTGCTAATCAAAAGATCATCAGTTCAAGTTCACCAGCCACTCTTTGGAAACCCTATGAGGCAGTTTTACTCTGTCCCACAGGGATGCTATGAGTTGGAATCGACTCGACAGCAACGGGTTTATTTTAACACTGAAACCATTTTATTGTAGTTAGTTGTTTACACGTTTTCTCCTCAAGACTGTGTTAATGAAAGGAAAAGATTTGTTTTTGCATCCCCAGTACATCACACTAAGTATGCTAGTTAATGAAAATAAATGAAATGGCACTACTATTAATATACCTTTAGCCCATCCAAATGGATTTAATGCTGTCCTGAGAGTATTTTAAGTTTTTTGTTTTGTTTTATTCTGTTCTGGTTTTATCTTTTAAAACAGAGACTTGCTTGAGACTATACTACCATGAGGGCCAAAAATTAACTTTAAATATTACTGATTTTAACATCATTTAAGTTTCATGGTTGGCTCAGATATTTGACACAGCCATTTATTTGCTCTTTTTGCTTATTCTAATAAATCATGTAAATGATGAATAAATAAGCTTAACCTAAAACTTTGTTTCACACTGAAAGACATTAAGATATATTTTGAATACTTAATGACAGCCACTAACAAAATATTCAAATCAAATATAGGGGGCTAGAGAGAAAAATATGATCACTTACTAAAAGTATTTAAAATCAATATAATTATAAATAGCACAAGTAACTTTTTTTTATCAAGTCAATGATAAGCACTGATGTTGCTCATATTCCCATATACAATTAACCTTTCAGCAGAGGAATAGTATTAAATAAAAGTGTAATTTATAACATATATCTTAAAAGAGATAATGTATGTGCAAATGCTTTAAACTGTAAACTATATCCTTATTCTTAATTTCCATTAATGGCATCATTATCTACCCAGTCTTCTAAGCTAGAAACATTCATGTTATTAACTCTTTTTCAGTATCTTTCCCCAACATCCAATCCCTGTGTAGACATTCATCAAATCTTGTTGATTCTGCTTCAACTATGACGCTGAAATTAATCCCTCCATTTTTTTTAAATCTTTAATGCTTCAGCTTTAGTTCAGTCCCTTGTTATCTGTTGCCAAGAATATTGTAATCAACTGATCTTCTTTTCACTAGCCTCTCTTCAACTTCTGTCCAACCCCACACTACTACAAGAGTTTTCTTCTTAAACCGTTAATCATATTATTACTTCCTTACATAAGAACTTCCGCCGGCTCTTTGATACTTATAGAATAAAATACAAACCCCTTAATTTGACACATGAAGTTTCTTGATGACCAACTCCAAACTGTTTTTCAAGCTTCAGTGTCTACTTCCACAACACAACTTGCTTTCCTGTAGCACTGAACTTTTCACCATTTCTTAATATATAAGGCCCTTTTACAGTTCCAGTCTTGGACATAGGTCTGGTTCATTTGCCTAAAATGTAGTGGCAGGACTTACTTAAAGTCTTCTAAAGGGATTCCAAAGTTTACATCCTTCTAGTATCTTTATTGTTGTTGTGTGCCGTCGAGTCAATTCCAACTCATAACGACCCTATATGACAGAGTAGAACTGCCACCATAGGGTTTCTTAGGCTGTGATCTTTATGAGAGAAGATCGCTAGGTTTTTTTCTCCCTTAGAGCTGCTGGTGGATTCAAACCACCAACCTTTTGGTTAGCAGCCAAGCTCTTAACCATTGAGCCATCAGGGATCCTTCTTGTATCTTCAGACACTCACAGTTTTATCTGCTCCCCATTCACTTTCACATCTAAATACTGCCTGATTCATGTACTTGTACTATTGTCTGCATACTCAGCAAGTCAGAAATAACCTTTTTCCTGATCCCTAAATGTTGGAAAATAAGATGGAAACGTTCAGCTACTTACCTCATCCAGTTGATGTCCTAATAAGTTTCAGCATCAGTCAAAAGATTCTTTGTCACTGAAATAAAAGCAAGAGATTGGATTTTATTAGAATTCATGCAATTGCAAATAACACCTCTTAGAAAATAACTGTTAATTCTTTTCAGTTAACCTTTCAGAAGAATATTTTCAAAATTTTGAGAGGAAAAATGTCTATCTTTTTTATCAGAGAAACTTATACTTACTTAGATTGCTTTCTCCTTTTGACAATTTTTCGGTTGGGAAGATTAGTCACTTTGTTTTGGTTGGGTGCACAATAAACATTTAACTGGGTGTTGTAAATACGTATACCTACCTCTTCAAATTTTTAAAGAATTAAGATAAAAAAATACATAACCTAAAAAACTATACTGAACATAATTTTGATCCTGAAAGCAATATAGAATAGTATTTGGGTGGGTAGGCTCTGGAGTCAAATTGTCTAGGTTTGAATCAATCATCAATTTTTGCTAGCTGTGTAACTTGAGAAAATTAACTTAACCTTTCTGAGACACAAGTTCTTGTAAGTGACAATTATCAAGTAGAATCTACGTCATAGGCCATTGTGTGAATTGAATGAGACAGACATGTTAAAGCATTTAGAAGAGTGCTGAGCACATAGTAGGTGTTTATTAATTTTTTTTTAATGGTGACAGTTATTATTAACATCATAAGGTCCATAGGGGCACACAATTTGCACTGGACTACTAACTGAAAGGTTGGCGGTTCAAACTTACCCAGTGGCACCATGGAAGAAAAGCCTGGTGATCTTTCATAAAGATTACAGCCAAGAAAACCCTATGGAGAAGTTCTACTCTGTTTAACACATGGGATCACTATGAGTCAAAATTGACTCAGTGGCAACAGGTTTGGGTTTTTATTATTGTTACTATTATTATTATTAACATCAAACCCTCGGTGTGCTAGAACCATCTAAGAAAGCTGATTGTCAGCATCTCTTCCCAAGTTTCATAACTTCATGTGGGTAGCCTGAAGTGGACCATGGTAGGAATATTTACACCACTAAAATCAGCAAATGCTATGAATCAGAACACTTTCTTCCCTGGAAAGCAGATTGTTAAATCGCCAGCATACTACTGCATCAAACTCTACCTTCAAGTACATACTATGTAAATCACTTCTCACTACAAGGTTGTACCTGTAATAAACTAGGAAGTTTGTGTTATCTGTCTGGTTAAGGTCAAAGCTAGGCAATTAGACTGATCCTATTTTGATGCTAGGAGTCCCTGGGTCATGCAAATTGTTAAGCTCTCAGTTACTAACTGAAAGTTTGAGGGTTCAAATCCACCCAGAGGCACCTTCGAAGAAAGACCTGGAGATCTATTTTCGAAAGGTAACAGCCACTGAAAACCCTATGGAAAGCAGTTCTACCCTGAAACACACAAGGTTGCCAAGTGTCGGAGTCTGGTATTTTTGGGGTTTCTTTTTTTTTTGGTTTTAACAAAGAGAAGTTTATTTCCTTACAGTAAAGTAGGCTAAAAGTCCAAATTCAGGGTGTTAGCTCCAGGAGAAGGCTTTCTCTCTCTCTTGGCCTTCTCATCAGTGTTCCCTGGACTAGGGACCCTGGTCCAAAGGACGCGCTCTGCTCCCGGCACTGCTTTCTTGATAGTATGAGGTCCCTTGGGGTTTTTTGTTGTTGTTGTTGTTGTTGTTTAATATTGATACTAAAACATATTCTGCAAACTTTTATTTAAAAAACAAAATCATTAGTGTAGTGTAAGTTTGTTTTCTTCTCATTTGATACTTTTTAAAAATGGAGTATCCAAAATGTATCACATGCAAGTAACTATTTCAATATTTTAACTTTGCTTATAGTTTCATGATTTCAGAAATAGGTTCAGTTCAGGGAAAATAATGGATTAAAAGAATGCAGAGGCTTACTGCATAATCAGCTAACACTGACAAATGAATAATAGTATAGTCTTCAAAGCACTTTTCTGTGGATTTTCCCATTCGATGATTTGATTTAATTAACTCTCCTTCAATCTGCTGAACACGTATTATGCACAAGGAGCTGTGCCTGACACTGAAGTAAAAACAGTTATGCATCTCTTACATCCGTTAGGGCAACGACCAACCGCATATATGTCCATGGTCCCATACCAGAGTAAATACAAGTAGTCAAACATGTAAAAGCCTGAGAAGTCAGAATAATAGGTGGAGATTCTTGATTTCTTTTTCAGATATGCATTTTCAAATGCTGCTGAAAGGTCAAGCAATGTGAAAAAAAAATCTGTTACATTTACTGATAGTGTCCTTAGTGGCATCTGCTCCTTTCTAGTCTCTCCTTTGCAGTGTAAATTACCCCTAAGAAGATGAGAGGAGTTGGGATTTAGAATATAGGTGAAGAAACTGGCCTAACGCAGGAGAAATTGCATCTCTTTCACTGTAACTAGAGGAAATTTATGCAATTGTTAGTTTCATGGCTTCTATTTACTCTGAGAAGTGGAAGACGGTTGAA